CACACCAGCTCAAATAACCAATAACTGTGAACCCTTTCCTGTTCCATGCCATTAGGCTGTGATCTTGTCTCCCGTCCTTTCAGGTCCCCTGTAAGCAGACACACTTCAGAGTCCCTGCTCTGTTTCTTCAGCGAAATGAGTCGATTATAACAGACAGACCCGTGACTCTGAAAGAAAGTCTCTGTCTCTTTCAGCGGCAGGCTGGCCAGTTGCCTAGTTACTGCTCACTGATGTGTGTAAACCCTATACAGCAATTACCCAGGTATCATAGCACTGCTGCTGGAAAGCGGCGCGGCGAAGCCCTCGCGCCTGCTCCCAACCCACCCCCATAACAGAGATAAGAGGAGCTGAGGGTTTTGATTTGAACCCTCAGCTCTCTGAATCAGCCTTCTCTTATTAAAGAGATGACGACCGACTTAAGAAGAGCAATGAGAAATGCTTCGAAGGAAAAAAACCCATCTGTGATCTGTCTGCACTAAGATAGTGGGTTAGAGGCTCTGCTCCGCCTGGAGTTAGCTGTATTTAACAATGTATGCACTCACAGACCTGTTAGCAGCTTTAATTAGAAAGTGTTTCTCTAAAAGCAATATACTGGCTGCTGAATCAATAAACCACATGTATGTGTATTCATGTGCAGCTCTTCTTTCACACACTTAACATTACACAAGCTGGCTCTCACTGTTCTTGTTGTGCCATCTCGTTAATAGCCTGTTTGCTCAATTCTAGGAAATGTGGTGGTAGCAGGCAAGACCGTGCTTGGATCTCTCTCTCTCACACACACACACACGCACCAACACGCACACGCACACACACACACACACAGGTTTCCTTTCCTCAGTCAATCGTTGTCCTTGTCTCTCTCATCAGCCCTGGCAGTTCTGCTCTCAGTCCCTTCCTTCCTGTTTCTCCTCCTTTTGCTTCCACATTCACTCATTTTATCTCTACTTTGATCCAAGCCTTCCATCACAGGTCTGCAGTGTGCACGAAAGAGAAAAGCAAGGAAATGCACGACACACCTGACTGATGCAGTGTGTCGCGGCAGGATGGATTGCTCATATACAACCACTGCAAAGCGAGAGTGGAAGCCGAACACCAAGCTGTGAGCTAACCTGGTTTCCCTCTGTGTTTGCAAAAGCAGCATCACACCTCCTCTCATGATTCAGGTGAGTGAGGCAGAGTGCAAATCAAGCAGAGAACATGACCCCGAGGCCCAAAGCGCAGTCGTCTGCTATAAAAAGTCATGTTCATTTCTACTCAGCCCAAAAGACAGTTGGAAGGAGGTTAGGATGGATTAGAGGCAGCATGCTGTGAGTGTGACTTACTGGAGTCCCTGGAGTCTTTAATCAGAAAAAGTCTAGAGTAAGGGCTCATGTAATGCACGCACGCACGCACCAAACAAAAGGTCATATTCACTCTGCTTCACTGAGTGAATGGGTTAAATGCAGAGAGGAATTTCCCCACGGGGATCAATAAAGTATACATTATTATTATTATTATTATTGTTATTATTAAAAGTGATGAAAAAAAGCTGCCACTGTGTTACAAATTGAAGCTGGAGGGAATATCAGAGAAGTTGACAGTAATAAGTAATAACAAACAAATTGCGGAAAAACACACCTGGTTGATTAAAAGCTTAAAATATCTTCAGTCCTATTAAAGGACATCATCTGTTCATTCGATTATCATTACATTCTTTAACTCAACTGGATCAGCACTACATGGTTCATGTCTTAACCTCAGTGTATAGACTGAATAGATGGATGTAACATTCAGCTCTTAAAAGTCAAAGAAGCCAGTGTGGAGGTGTCTTAAACCTGCGTGACTCCTCTGTTGGCAAACAGAAGATCAGCTGTTTGGAAGTTTATGGTAAAATGATCCTTGCTGGTCTGATGAGTTCATGGCTTCTGTTGCTAGTTTCAAGTCACACCGCATGCAACGTGATATTCATTTAGTAGATTATGGCCCCCATTACAGTCAGAAATGGAGGATTAACCATGGTATGCTCACTGGCATTGTGAAAGACAAGTGTTTAACTAAAGACAGCGATGGTGAAAATCTTCCGATTTTGGCTTCCCAACAAGAAAATAGCGTGTCTTATACAAGCAAATATAAAAACAAACATCAACTAAAATGATACTAAAGTGAAAACAATCTGTCCGTACAGCTCAGACCAGCATTTCGGACCAAAACAGATCTCATATTGCCCGATTACATCCATCCTGAAATTTACTGCCCCCCTCTGGCTGCACTTGGTAATTGTCTCTGGAAGCTAGCTTGACTATCAGCTGTTAAATCTCTGTCATTTTTTCTGGGAGCGTTTATGTCATGCTGACAAAGGCTGGAACTGAGAGGAGAGTAGCAGGAGTCGATGTAGGACAGTCATTCCACTTGCTATTAATTTCAATTAAATTGTCTGCAATTCAGCCAGAGGCACAGCAGGTGGCACTTGAGAGATATTTCTCTGAATACTTGAAAGGTGGGATTTCCCACGAAACCCTTCTCTAGCATTCTCTCTATGCTCTTCTTTTACCCTCATCCCTGAACTGTGGAAAGGGCAAATGGCATGTTCAGCCTCCCTGAGCATGGCTCTGATGGGGGCTTCTTCCTGTTAAAAGGGAGTTTTTCCTCCCCTCTGTTGACAAGTGCTAGTTTGCAGGGGATTAGGCAATTTTCATATTTCCTCATGACGTCTGTCACTGTAGGTGATACAGCACCCCAGACCAGTACAGACCATTGACCCATTTACTTTACCTTCAATGAGCATGAAAGTTGACCTCTTTGACAAACTTCACAATATTCAGCTTTTTAAGATGCTCACTCTTGTTTTGGCCATTTGTGTATGTGTACTGCCACACTGTTGTCAGAGATGATGAGGAACTGGAATGCAGTTGGTTCACCCACTCTTCTTACCCATCTGTAAAAGTCTCTGCATGCCATTGATGGTGCATGAGCAGTTACCTGCAAAACGACCTATTCTCATCAGTAACATCTGCACTTGGAAATGAATCCAAACACAGAGCTGTTACACCCCGTCAGTAAGTAAAGTTAACAACAAAAAAAATCAGTGAGCTGTGTCATCAGATCATGTATAATGTAGCACGTTGTCATCAGACCCATGGTTCTCAAAGCAGAATCTGTTAACACCACAGCTCCCTCACAAAGGGCTCCAGGGGGGTTTGATGATTCAATTCACTTGATTCTATTTGGATTTCCTATTTATCACCATACACTGTGGAAGAGACACATACCATCCAATTTCTCTCACTTTCAATTTCAACAGCAGACCGTAGCAGATGCATCAACTCTGACCAATCATCTTTTCCAAATGGTGACTCTTTGGACAAAAGACACATCTAGGAGGCAGATTCTGCAGCCCATGAGACAAAGCAAGGCTAATACGATTCAATCCATCTCACACTAATAGAGAACTCCCAGCAAAAAAAAAGGTTTAAACAAACCCAGGCTTACCCTGGCAGCTGCTGCAGGAGAAATATCACCCACAAAGAACAACTTCTCTGTGAACTGCAGAGTTTTCAGCTGTGTGTGCCAACCACACGTTCAATCAAACATGCAGACGATCGATGTGACCCAGTTTCTGCCTTGGCATCAGCAGAGAGATGTTGTACAGTGAGCTACAGTACTTTAAAGAGCATTTACAATCTCAGGCAGCAACCAGACAGTTAAAACAATCGTCCCTCAGGAGGTCGTTAAAGCAGCACAAACGTACAACTGTTTTCTTTATGAATGTCCTTAAAAAAAAATCTCCATACTGCAGCATCTCCCATTCACTACATCCTCACCTGTTTGTGCTGTTATTTTGAGCCTCCCCCTCCGGAGGCAGGAGGTGTGTTAGGCTGCACTGTTTGAACAGGGCACATAGAAAAGGGGAGCGGGCTGACGTTATGTTAATAGAGGTAAAATCAGGAGAAGAGGAATCTGCAGCGTGAATGCTCAAATTAACACACACACACACACACACACACAAGCTCAAACAATTATAGGCTGAATACGCACAGTGCAAATTTCATTTATGTGCAGACACACACACACTCTGCCCTTGCTGTGGATCTGCTTTGGGCTGTGGCTCCATCTAGTGAACAAAAATCTGCATCTGGCACAACTACAAAACAGGGCGGTGTTAATGCTATTAAACATTACTGTATCCAAAAAATGATTATGAGATCTATAGAAAATAAAAAATACAGGAATAATGCTACAAGTCCAATTTCTGTGTTGTCTTCCTTGGTAAATTCACTGATCCTTAAATGAAAGTGAATGGTAAAATTGCCTCTATAACCATGCAAAAAGAATGACTGCACAGTTATCAGCATATCTAACTACATATAATTATAACCTATCAGAATGGAGAATACAGTTTTTTCAAAACAGGCGTATTATACTCGTATTATATACTACATTATATCACAAAGGAGGTATAACAAATTGCTTCCTAGCAATCCATTTAGATGTGTTTGTTCCACTCCTGGCAAAACATACACAGCGGCCCGTGCTCTGTGAGATGCTTGTGCCATCATCAATGGAGTCTTTTCTGCTGCTGTGTTATTTCTGCTATCATAAATATACCATTTACTTTCTGCCAAAACAAACAGCAGAGTTGCAGATGAGTAGCTCTGCACAGTGATGAATCATTTAGTTTTAACTTTAATTGGTGGAGATGCATGGATTGTTGCCAGCTGAAAAGGTAAACGGGTTAAGGAATAACATCGGAATTGTTCTTTAAAACTTCCCTAAAGCGTCAGAACGGATGTATTTGAGGATCTATGGCCCATGCTGAATAAAAATCCATCTTTTCATTCATTCTCCTTATCAGTTGTGTCACTTTTGAAATTTCTTATATAAGACTAGTCAAGCTTTGTTTCATAACATCACAAAGTTGCTCCAAAATACTACATAAATCTGACCTTTGTTTACCAGTCTGAGGTCACACATTACGTGTGTGTGTGTGTGTGTGTGTGTGTGTGTGTGTGTACGTAAATTACCTCAGCAGCCACTGTACACAGTATGAGCTGTGTCTCTGACTCGGGGAAATAGGATCTGACTTGTGGAGACATGCCAATCAGTGCACAGTTGGTCACAACAGCTATCACGCTCATGGCTTCAAAGGCGAGCTGCACACAGAGGTAGAAAGACAGCGACAGTTATTCGTTTCCACGAATGGAAACCATACCTGGATGCTG